TGAAGCAGAACAGGCAATGTGCAGCCCTCATTTACGAGAAAACTCTCAGGACACTCCCAGGGTGATGCTTGGAGAAGCTGTGAGTTGAGCTGAAGCTGGAGCACTTCCTCCAGAGCAAAGGGCTTAAGAAAGAAACAAGAACTCTAAGATGGGTCTGCTAACATCACTCCAGTTTAGATGGATCTTGGCAGAGAGACACGCTTGTTCCTCTGGGTTGGAAAGATTTACTCTCGGGAATCTTCTCTGTCAGCCTGTACATCTAAAGGCATGAAGCACTCAATTGGGCAATTAACATTCTGTTAAAAAAGAAGGAAAAAAAAATTAGTGGCAAATACTGTAAAGTGTACAGAAAAAAAAATGCGGGGAGGTGGGGACTCATGACAGCTGCTTATAAATAGGATAATATTTCTTCCTAGTTTCAAGAACCTAGCAGCATACTGGGCAATAGGAGATGTTCAAGAGTTAAATAAATGATAACTTAAACTGTATTATGGAATACAGTGTTTCACTTAAGTCATTTATGAGTTTTTTTAAAAAATTAAAATATTTGGTTCATTCTGAAGGAAGATACCTGTAGAAAGGACTGTCTAGTATGAGGGAACACACGCGTGGCGCCAGTGCACTTACAGTGTTTGTTCTTTGATGGTATCTCTGAGAATACTGGTTGTAGGACTGACCAGTAGTGCCTTCGGGACTGGGTTCACCCCCAGGTCTGCGGCAGTTGTCACAGCGCCAGCCCTGAGAGAGTAGAGGCATGAAGTCAAATGGGGTTTATGATAACCTGAGGACATCGTAATTTAGTGTTTGAGTTAAAGAAAAATTTCACAGCTTATGCACTGGCCAAATATAAGCAGTTAATCACTAAGGAAACTTTGATGATGATTTCATGCATTTATAATTCTTAGAATACATTTTGGCTTATTACCATATCTTATACCTGTATCTGTCTCTCTGTTGTTTCTTTTCCCCTGAAATGTCCTCTCTTCTCCTCCTATTCAAACCTTACCCATCTGCTGAGGCTCATTCCAATCCCAACTTCCTCAACAAGTTCTCTGCACTAGATGATGGAAAAGGTTTTCATAGAATCGTAGCGATTTTAAAAGGGACTTGAGATCACATGAACAAACATTGTCATTTTATAGGTAAGGAAACAAAGACCCAGAGGAGAGGAGTGACTTTGCTTAGAGGGAGCAGGGCAGTCATACAGTGGACCACTGGTGGAGTTGGGGCTGCTGCCTAGGAGGTGGGGTGACCCCGGCCATGTTCTTTCTAATGCACCACTTTGCCACTCCCTTCCTAAACTTCCCTAGGCAGAGACACGGTAGCCTTTCGTCCGGCCAGAGATGGCATGGGAGATGGAAACGGGACCAAGCTGAGCCAGTGAGGCTCCTCCCTGAGGTTTTTGCTGGAAATGGGAGGACATACATGTTCTCTTTTACTACTGTTCTTAAGCTGGGAGGGGGTAAAACTGGAGCTCACGGAGGTCAGTCATCAATGACACCATCTGCAGAGACCCCTCTGAAGCATGGCGCCAGTGCATGGGAAGGCACGAGGAGCAAGAGGGACTCCGGGCGCCATTGCTGGAGCAGCCCTTGAAGCCGGTGGGTCCTGGGACTTTTCCATTCTGTGGACCATTTTTGCTTAACTTGAGTTGGACTTTTTTTCTTACAACTAAAACGCAGCCCTAAATAATACAATCACTTTCTTTTTTATATTAGAATTTAAATATTTTGGACATATTTCTCTGTGTAAGCGCATATGCCCCTTAATACCTAACACAATACCGGTGACTGCCTCCTTACAGAGTCATTGAATCTTCCTTTCATATGAGAAAGTAACAGTTTCCACTCCTGTCTTATGTTTCATTTAGCACTTTACTTGAGAATGGAATAAGCCTCACACATGAAAGGTTTCATGTGCATAAATGATGAGAAGATGCTGAAGTGAGACCAAAATCAACTTCCCAGCAAATTCACTCTGCATCACACATTTTTAAAACCAGAGTGACTGAGTTCTAAGATCATACGATCACAGTCGTTATAAGTGTTAATGGGAGAGACAGAGAGAGAGACAGAGAGAGATACTGAATTCAATCTAAATTCCAATCTCCAATTCTCCTCCAGAATTGGGAGCACCTCCCTCCCCATGTAATCACTGGGGGTGAAACAAGATCAGAGTAGTTTCCATGGGCTGCCCCTGGTGGGGTCAAGACAGGCCCCTGAACGCCCTTGCTGCCAGATTAATTTTCCTAAAGATTAATTTTCCCAAAGACTATTTTCCATCATGTTTCTTTGCATCTTGGATACCTGTAATTGGTTCATGCCAAATGCATTCACCAGTGAGTCTCACCCTCGAGTGTGAAGCACGCCCCTCACCTACCAGGATTTGGGGAGTTGCTGGGAGGGCACGTCTTCACTGAAAACAAAGAGTTGTCACGTTCCATTGCTTTTATTTGAGTTACGCGTCATTTTGTTTTGAAATTTCAAATCATATTAGAGAAAGGCATATTATTTTTTGTTATACTGGGCATATTTTAGAAATGGTTGAGAAGTACTGGTTTAAACAATGGGCTGCCAAGGCCCTCCATAAGCCACTTCTTCCCATCTAATTTCTTACCAGAAGACAGCAGGCAGAGGGTTGGCTCACCAAAGCCCACCTGGGCCAGCTCCTTTCGATCCCAGGGGGTGTGCTTTCTGTCTCTCTGCTTTCTACCCTCTCAACTAAACCTTAGGCATCGTAAACCTCAGTCAGTTCATGCTTCTCTTTCTTGCTAGTTCCAGCCTACCCAGAACTGTATTTGTCAGACCCACTTAGAACTTAATTAGCTTGACTTCGAAATGTATGCTAATTTAACATCTTCAACTATATCATTAAGAGCCAAGACCATTTCCCATTTCCTCTGTTTTTCCTGTATTACTTAGCACAGTGCTAGACCTGTAACACGGATCTGTTCTGAATCAAGAGAGAGGGTGAAAGAGTGGCATTTTCTTACATCTGAGATATTATTCAAAATATTTAACAACGTTGCCATGGGGACACCAGTCCATCAGAATGGAGCTGGAGGCCTAGAGCTACACTGCACTTAACACTTTAGTTGCTGAAAAATAGAAGCAGCCTGAGAGTAGCGGGGGAGGGGATGGTCTCAGGCTGCCCAGGATGGGGAAAACTGGCTGAAATGAAACACATTCTGCTCACCACTAATTAATTTGACTAGTATCTCTGCTTCACTTTTTTTTCAGTGTAAATGATATCTCTGAGATGCCAGGGAGCTTAGGAAAATGATTCTAGCATAGTATAAATGACAGGTATTGCTATTAAGAATGACTCAGGACTCATGTTTTTGGTACTCTACATGCCATTCATTCTTTCTATTACTAGAAATAGTAATTCATGCCATTCATTCTTTCTAGTACTAGAAATTACTATTACTAGAAATAGTAATAGTAGAAATTACTATTCGTAGAAAGAATGAATGGCATGTAAGGTAGACATAGAGCTACTCTAGAGCGCTGTGTCAGCAGCTGTATGCCAGCAAGAAACATGGTATTTTAATACTTCCGAAGGGTCTCTGCCCCTCCTGTGTGTACGACACATCCTCGCAGGAGCCCACCCTTTATCTTAGCTAGCTTGTAGGGAGCCTGGCACATCTGGTCTTACCCGCTGGCCTCCAAAGCATGTGCAGGAGCAAATGGCACCGAGATATTCCTTCTGCCACTGTTCTCCTACGTGGTACGTCTTCCCATCATCATAACACGTTGCCTCATCTGCATGTAGACACAAGACAGATGCACGTGTAAGCTGAGAATAATACTGCAGACTTGATCTAGGGGTGGGTTCTATTTCTGTCCTAAATTTGTATCATCACAGTGCAAATTCCACATATTTACGTGAATCATCCATAAGAGAAGTACTGCTATACAGATCTTAGGGTGGCATTTCCAAAAATTAGACTTAATATACTGGAAAGGCTCCAATGGGAAGATGGAAATCATATTTTACAAGCTGAATCTACAGACTAATAAAGCTGCTTTCTAGCATTTTACTGCAGATAATGGTCAAAATACTCATGTTGGAAAAGTGCTAAAGTGTCCTGTAATAACATTAAATCATGACTCATTTTTGAAGCTTGTCTTCACTTTCCCAAATCAAAAGACTAAGAAACCCACTGTTCACTCTTCAAGGAGACCTAAAGTCTCCGATCATTTCTGTGAATGAGAGTTACAGCCTGATAATGAAAGTGGGAACGCTTAATAAGGCAACTAAAAATGATCTGTGATGACGTACGAGGGTCACACTTGAATTCTCCTTTTCCATTCCCAAGACACGTGCAGCTCATCATCTGGCCATTTTCTCCCTGACGGTCCCACTTCTCTCCAATCTTGTAGTTCACACCATTGTCATGGCACCATCCTGTAGGGGTGGGGAAAGTCAGGACCAAAAAGTTATTTGTATATTCTGACTCACAAGACAGTGGGTGAACTGGGACATGTCACAGGGTCTTCAGAAGCACGATCTGGAAGAAACAGCAAATTAAAGATAAAAACCCCTATAATGGGCCATTTTATTTGATTATTTTTATTTAATTTATATATATATATATTTTTGAGACAAAGTCTTGCTCTGTCACCCAGGCTGTAATGAAGTGGTGCAATCTCGGCTCTCTGCAACCTCCATCTCCTGGGTTCATCTCCTGAGGCTCCTGCCTCAGCCTCCCGAATAGCTAGGATTACAGGCACTCCCCACCATGCTATTTTTTTTTTTTTTTTTGTATTTTTAGTAGAGATGGGGTTTCACCATGTTGGGTAGGCTGGTCTCAAACTCCTGAGCTCAGGTGATCCGCCCACCTCAGCCTCCCAAAGTGCTGCGATTACAGGTGTGAGCCACCATGCCTGTCCAATGGGCCATTTCTTTGGTTGACTTTTAAAATATTATTTCTTTATCATTTACCATTTTCTAGGACATTTTAAGATCCAATTTATTCTGCCACAATCATGACATAAGAATAGTCAAATGAAATGACTTTCATTTGAATTCTCACTATTAAGATTTAAAATTGTGGAAAACTAAAGCGGGATTGGAGTAGACTGTTAGGAATAGATCCTAGATGAAAAATCACTTTTGGATTTGCAGAAACCCTGGATACGAAATAGTTCAATTAACCATAAACAAGGATCAGCTGATCTCTGCATGCCACCACCTGTTTCAGGTATGTGGGAAGAGTAAAAAAAAAAGAACCTGGATAAAACAAAACAAAAACAAACAAAATGCTAAATTATTGGTTATTATCCACATCAAGTAAGACTGGTTCTGTGGAATATCTAAAAGTCACAGTTATATGTCTTTAACTACTATACATAAGAGATAACTTTTTAACCTCCAGGGCTTATACAACAAAACACACCTCAGAAGCTTATATAACAATATACTACTTCTTCCATTTTATCAACACGTCAGCCTGCCTTAAGTTACAAAGTAAAATAATTAGACAACTATGACATCAAAACAAAGATTATGTAAGTTTAGCCAAAGAGTCACATAAATGAACTTGACAGCTCTGCTCACACAATTGCACCTAAGTGCTTAAACAGGTAATAAACGTACAAACTTAAATGTAGTTCGATTTCAGGAGTTAAAAACCACCTACTTGAAGTCAAATATTAAAATTTCCAACTCCTAAACAGCATATGATGTTTTTACTGTTTTTCATTTTCAGATGGTCAAATATGGAAGTCTATATTGAAAACAGCTGGCTCTAAAATTTCAGTCTGTATTAAATGATTTCAAGTATACAAGCTAAGTAAAATACTTTGAAAATCCTTTTTTACCAAGTCCTATATTCCAATCCCATGGGACATGATTTTTGTATGTCTATAGGTGGCTTATTTATAGGCATAATGGTCAACATCTATAAAAATGAACCAATTGTCAATAATAATCACATCTCGTAAACATAAAGAATAAATAAAAGGTTTATAAATTCTAATCCTAAATCTCAAAGCATAATAGATATTTCCTAGGCACATTTTAACTTAAAAAGTTTGAAAAATTAAAACCTATTAGAATTTAAAAATCAAACATTTATCAATTCAAGTTGATTTTTAATGATCTAAAAGCAGATTATCTGTTTTTTCTTTTATATTTCTAGCAACATTCAAGCTACCTGGGCTATGTGTGTGAGGCAAAAGTGTGTGCATGTGTACTATGATATGTGCATGTTTGGTTTATGCTGAAGGAGACAGTGTTTTTGAGTCTAAATGTCCACCTCTGATTTCACTCAACACTAAAGATTAAAAGAGATTTGAAGTTGTTCTGTGTTTCTAATACTCTTAATTAGACCTGGTTCCAAAAGCCTTTAACTTTATCGATTTGTTTTCACAGAAAATTTCAAAAATCAAATTAGCACCATAACCTTATGTTTAATTAATGGTTGTGTTGGCATACAACCCTTGAAATGAAGCAATGTCCACCAAGTAAAATTTCCCATCATTTTTCTATGATGCAAAATATTACTTCAAGTCAAACAGTATTCCCTTGTTTGCTTCATGTTTGGAAGAACCTGTGTCTTCCAAACATGCTTCCTTGGCACATGAGTGCATGCATGGAACTGAGGAGACGAACACGCAAGTGGATGGACAAAGCAACTACTCACTAGATGAATCACATCTGAAATGACCACTTCCAAAGCCTAAGCAGTGGCACAACAGTTTAAAGCCTGATTCAGACATTCGTTCCCACTCATCTCCAACGGCGTAATGGGAAACCGTGTAGGGGTCAAAGCATGAGTCATCCGTAGGTTGGTTCAAGCCTTCATTGACTATGAAGAAAAGGGGGAAAAAGCAAAAAGAGACATCTTATTAATCGATTTGGACCATAAGAAGAAAACTGAATGTATACAATGACTTAATCTGAAACAAAAATTTTAGGAGGATTAAGAGGCATTCATCTGTTCTATCAAGGCATTAACTGCTCTAAAAAACCATGCTTAGATGTAGTCAGTGGACACCTGTCACAGGCATCTGACAAGAAGCCCATCTTTTATTTTTCCCTTTGTTTCTAAAATAATTGCCATTTCTGCTAAAACTACTTTATAGAACGTGGAACAGATCTTGAGGCAGTTTAAGCTAGTTGAGAACTTTAGTGGGATGCAAAGACTAGCGATGCCTCTCCATTGGTACCTGAGTGACCTTGGGCTAGCTATTTAACATTGCTCTGCCTTGCTTCCCTCATCTGCAATACTAGGAGAATAATAAAAATATCTATACCTCCTGGGGAATCTTGCGAAGATGATATAAGGTCATGAATTCAAAACACTGACCCTTTTCCAAGACTTAGAAAGTGTTCACTAAATAAAGAATAATTATTAAAGTTGTCTTTTGCTTATAATGCAAAAGTCTTAGCATTTTAATATACCATTATAATGTAATTTTCAATTTTATTATTGTAATTTTTGCATAATAGTGCAGAAAACCTAGATTTTGGACACTGTTATTATAGTGGTGAGACCGCTTTATCAGTGAGGTCAACGGTTCCAAATAAGAAAAAGCCCTTGGAATACAGATGATTTAGGAATGAGTAAGGGAGTGTCTTGATGTTACCTAAGATCTTATCTCTTCATGATTTGGAAAAGCTTATTTAAAAAAAAAATCTATGCAAACAAAGCATGCTTCAAATTATTCCCTAAAAATTAAATAAACTAATTTACTTTGACTTAAAGTCCCACCGTATATTTTTCTTTTTACAGTGCAAAACTCAACAGCTCAAAAGCAGTAGATATTTGAAGTGCCTAATTTTTAAAAGGCATCACCCTTGAAGAAAATAGTGTTTTGGAGAGCTAGTAAGTCTGAGACGTCTCAAAGCTGGGAGAACCTGGTTAGAATGTAGAATACTGCTGCTGGGAATAAGGAGTTTAAAAGAAAAATGGAAGGAACTTAAATTGTTCCTAGGGGTTTCTATACTCAAAAGAGCCAAGAGTTAAAATTCCATCCTAACTAAAGTTAAAGAGATGGAATCTTTTTTTTTTTTTTTTTTTTTAATGACTTAGAAAAGCACGAAGACCTTTTTGCTCTTGAAAATTCTGTTCACGTGGCATTCTGCTAGTAAAATCACAAAAGGCAAAGATAAGCATTACTGTGGCTATGTAATACAACAAACACAAATTAATCTCCTCCCAACCTCTCTCCAGCCAAATGCTCAACTGCTTAATTCACAGGAATTTATACATGTAAAGTAGCACAGTCTTCTATCAGATGAGGGAAGAGACTAAAATTAAGCAACTGGCCTTAGGAATAAAATCTGTCACTTGGCAAAAACAGGACTTAGCACACTCTGTTGGTGTGGAGTAGAGAACCCTCCTGTTGGAAGATTCGGGATTCATGGTTTTGATTATCTCCTATCTCATGTGCCTTGGTGGATCTTCAGCTGCTTCAAATTGAGAAGCCAGGTGGCACACTATTGATTTAAAAGGATTTCCCAGGTGCTACAGAGAAGAGTCTATGATCTTTTAACCTCTATAGAAGCTTTTGACCTATATAGTCAGGAAAAAAATGGAAATAACATTGGGAAAAATGGAAATAACATTGGAAAAATGAATTAGCATTGGAATAACATTCTCTGCAGACAGAAATGCACAATGGTGGTAGCATTTTATATCAGGAGCAAAAGCCAACTGTCCCCATGTCTGCAGAAGGGGTATTTTCTTTATAGGTAATCATTTCAGTATTTAAGAATCACTCAAGAGGACAGCAGCATGGTGAGATGGAGAGGGTCTGGGGAAAGACATCAGGAAACCTGTGCCCTATATCAACTCAGATACTCACAAGTAAGGACTCAGAGTGTTGTACTAAATAATATTTGAAGTCCCTTCCAGATCTATAATCATATCACCATTTGACAGTCTGTCAATTACGTATGCATTTTGTGAAGACAACAGGATATGGCAGGAGGTGAGGGAGAGATTAATTTAATACAAAGTTGCTCATTTATTTCATGTTGATGTGTTGCATTATTTCCCAAAGATAAAAAGACAATGGCAGCAAAGGTACAGTCAACAGAAAAGCCCATCTCTGGTGTAGAGCAGAGGGGAGGCTGTGTCTTAATAATACGTGTTTACATACCAGAGTTGCCCACGGTAACAACCTCTTCCCGAACCTTATGCCTCTGCTGGTCTTTCAGTGCCTCCACTATGATGTTGTAGGTGGCACCTCTGGTAAGGCCTGTCAGAGTGGCACTGGTAGAAGTTCCAGGAACCCTGAACTGCAATTATCGGTACATCCAAAGCAGAGAAAAAGCATTATAGTGAGGAATGACATGGGCTCTCCTCTTACCAATAACCCTCACTGTTTAAACAAAGCAAAGGAAGACAATAAACAACAAAAAAGGAGGGTATAGTGGTCCTAACCAGCGGAGGAGAGAAATGGAACAAGGATAGGGGCTAACATTCCTGCCAGATTTTCCTGCCAACAATCTACCTATGTGGTCCGTAGTTAGCAGGAGCCCTCGACAATACTAGAGACGGTCTGCCCTTGATCTTGCTTCAGTCACAGGTCTGCATAAGCCCTCTGGAAGCTCTGGCCATGTTTGCTTGACATAAAACCTGGACACTGCACTATATGGGAGACACAGTCATGCTACTCCAGGAGATATCTGACCCCAGTGTGGAGTCCTTAAAACAGTTGGGCAAATCCTCAAACCTGTGTTTCTAAGCTCATAAATTTCCTCCAGTGTTGTCAGTTTTTAAATTCTACCACTTTCTAAA